AAGACTTTGAAGCCTTGTGGGGCAAAGAAAAAACTGTTTTCCAGGAAGGCTCACAGAGACAGATGAAGAAGACTTCTGCCTTTGAATAACTCATCCTTAAAATAGCATCCCTAGACTCATGGCCCATACACACCTCAGAGTGTTGTGAACTGGGAGGAGTGAACTCCGATGACAAATTTCCGGGCAGCTGGCATTAGAGAAATAGAAAACTATAACAAAAATAGTTTTCTTCCGAGAAACTCCATAGATTAGCAGAAAAAGACTTCTGTTTCTCTACAAAGACTGATGAAAAGACTCTAGCAAGAATTAAGACTGTTTTTGACCACCAAAGTTCTAAAGTTTTTTTTTGTCTCTATGTTATCATGTGTACAAAGAAATGGTCAGGTAGTGAGAGATAAAAGGGTTTTCTGGAAGTTTATTCTAGTGTTCTTATTCTTGTAGTTTGTTAATAAACTGTCTTTATTCCTTTTAAGTTTTAAGCCTGTTTTGCTCTTGTTCTAATCCATATCTCACAGCAAGAAATAAGTAATTTTTAGTTACTGGTTTAAAACCACAACAAAGTGTTTTAAAGCAAATAACACAGACATTACAAAAATACTCACTCTCCTGCATTAATTTGGGCTGCTGGAGTGGGGAATTACAGATGTATGCATTTGAATATTCTGGTATTTATTCAGGTCAGTGCAATCTCTGACTTTAAAGTATGGATGCAGAAAAAACTGCTTACAAAATCAGTACTTGCCTCAAAAATCCAGAAAATGTGCTCCTGCCATAGAGCTCTGAGTTACCAATAGACACATACATTAAAAATTTATGTGGTATTTACACGGCTATGTTAGAAAATCTGAAATTTTATAATAACTTACATTACATTATTGGGTAAGCAGATCCCCAAAGAAACCAAAGTGTTGTGGTGTGGGCAGCTAAGGCCCGGCAGTCGGAAGATTTTGGGATGTAAGGGAAAGACAGAGTCACCCCCTCCTCCATAGTTTATGGTAATGACCCCTGTACTTAGCCAATAGCACCTAGCTGTGATGAAAGCAGATGGGAGTGACACTGTGAACCTAGGTTATAAAGTGTCAAATTCTTCACCAATAAACACCATTTTGCCATTCACCAATAAACACCATTTTGCCATCCATCACATTGGTGTTGTGTGCAAATGGACCGAGTGACCTGGGATTGGTCACCGTGCCATTCCTGAACCAGGTCCTCTGCCTCGCTGAAGGCAGCACTGTGGTCTTGCTTTTTGCCCTTCTCCCTTTTTGTAGGATCATGAACCCACAAATTTATAGTCACTGTAGCCAAGGCTGCCCCTGACTTTCACATCCATGACCAAAGGCCTCAGCTACTACTTCTTCCTGCTCAGGAGGTCTGTAGCAGATACCCAGAGCAAAGCAACCATGCTGGTCCACCTTCTGACCTTCATCCATCTACAAGTTCCCATCTGGCTCCTTACCCATTCCTGGGCAGAGCTCTATACACTCCTGCTGCTCTCTTACATAAAGGGAAAACAATTCTTCTGACATTCTCACTCTGCTGTTTCTAAGGACCTTGTATCCAACTATTACAACACTCCTTTCTTGGGAGCTCTTTTAACCACACTTCCCTGATCCACTGATGTAGCATTATTATTCACTAATGTAGCACACAGATTTCTAACTCCTTCTAGTGTGTTTGTTTCTTTGGTTTTGTTTCACTTTTCATTCAGCATGCACTAAAGGCATTTCACAGATTGCATTAGGGGTGTTTGGTATCAGGGCAGTTATGGGGGTGGCTTCTATGAGAAGGTGTTAGAAATTTCCTTTATGTCCAACAAAGCTGGGTCTAAGATAGATTCACTGTTGTTGGCCAAGGCTGAGCATCTCAGCAATGATGGTAGTGGTCTGAGATAACAGAGCTAAGTAGGGGAAAAATTACTGCTTAGCAGCAGCTGGGAGAGAACAGTGAGAATGTGAGAGAGAAACAATTCTGCAGACAGAGAGGTCAGTGCAGAAGGATGAGCAAGAGGTGCTCTGGGCACTGGAGATCAGATTCCCCTGCTGCCTGTGGTGCAGCCCATGGTGAGGCAGCTGTGGCCCTGCAGCCCATGGGGATCCACAGGGATGCAGAACACTATGTGCCACTAGTAAAGAACTTCATGAGAGATCAGGTGAATGCTCAAAAAATTCTGAGTCCTAGTGGAAAGGCCATGTCAGAGCAGGCTTCTTTCTCCAATGAGAGGAGCTCTCATTGGAGTACATCTGCTGTCAGGACTTGTGATCCATAGCAAGGCAGCTTCATGTTGGAGTAGCCTGTTCATAAAGAACAGCATTTTGTGGAATGGACCCATGTTGGAACATTTCATGAAGAACTGTAGCCCACAGGAAGGACACAGTCTGGAAAAATTTGTGGAAGACTGTCTCCTGTGGCCCATGGGAAGGATTAACACTGGAGCAGTTGCCAAAAACTGTCTTCTGAGGAGGAACTCCAGGCTGGAGCAGAAGATTGCAAGGCTCTTTCTTGTGTCAGAGGTGTCAGAGACAATGTGCTGAACTGACAACAACATCCATTCCTGTTCCCCTGCACTGCCTAGGGGAATGACGTAGACAGTCTGGCAGTAAAATTAAGTCTAGGAAGAAGGGAGGGAGGGGGAGAAGGTGTTTTAAGATTTTTTTGTGTTCATTACTGTTTTATTATTGAGACTGCCAGCTATTCATGAGTCTTCACAGAAGTAAGAGTGAATGCCATTTATTTCTATCTTTAGCACACTTCTATAGGGTTTGCTAGGGTCTGTGGGCTAAGCAAGTTACTACTGGCTAGTGCACACAGGTTTACATTTTTTCTCCTGTACACAAGGATATTTGTTTTGCCTTATTCTCTCTCCTGCAGGAAAGTTCCAAGGACTTTAGTCTTTAATTTCATAACTTATTCCAGAGTCTGGTTTGTGCAGACAGGCCTTTCACGCCCACCTTCTGTTAAAAAATTATCTAAATTTTATTCTCATTTGGTTGCCAAAAAATTAATACCACAAGTTAAATCTATTGTGTCCATCCAGGTAATTGAAGAGTGATCTATGCATTCCTGCCCTTATCTCAACCATTTTTTATATTTTTCTCCCTCTGTTCAGTTGAGAAGGAGCGTGACAGAGTGGCTTTGGTGGGCACTTGACATCCAGCCAGGGTCAAACCACCACAGAGAGGCACTCAATTGTGCTGACTACTGTATACAGGCTTGAGAGCGCTCCCAACAAGGCTATTTCTCAGACACTTCCTTCTTTTCATGCCTGTTCTCAAACAGATTGCATTTCACTTCAGTTTTGTTAATTACTGTGTCCAGTTCTGCTCCCAGCACCCCTAGCTTTTGGCTTGCCTACTCCACACACACACAGATTTTTTATCTGCTGAGAAGTCTCTCCCTTCACACTTATTCCTAATCTAAATCTCTCCCTACCAAATGTCTTACAGAGCATACCAGGCTGTTGACAAATACATTTGTCCTGTGTGATCAGGTGGATCTCATCTTTTCCAAACAGCTATTGAGTGGATTAAAAAAATGCTATTTTTCTCTTTATTTTCAGCTTAAAATACTATGCACCAGCTTCACTTGTTCAAAGACTCTCTACATCCTTCTTGTTGTTTCCACACAATTCAAGGTGTTTCAGTTGATTCATTAAATTTACAAGATGTATGTCCCTGGGTTTCTTACGCAGCATAACTATTTCTCTATATAAAATATTAAGCAACAGAACCATTAGTTTTAAAGGACATATTGATTCCACAATGACTTCTGTTCTCTCAGTAAACATTCTGGAGATTTCAAGTATTCAGTCTCAAACACTGTGAAATGATGGTGTGCAACTACCATATGCAAAGACCCTCTTGGCAACTCATTACAAGTTTAAACTGCATGAGACGTTGATGTCTCATTGTGGTATGATGTGATCATTAAGATTACAGAATTCCTATAGCTAAACTTAAATAAAGGCATAAAACTTCACATGCAATTTTATTCACACATTATATCACACAGATTCTTCCAGCAGACCTAGATGCAAATAAAACTAGAATTCTGTTTTTGATCAGGGTAGCCGCCTATGCTTTTCCCATCAGAAATAATTCTATATTAGCTGGTGAAAGTATTAGGTTCCCTAATGTGCCACTTTTCATCTCATCTATCTTTATTACAATTGTGATTGTACTTCAAATATAATCAGTTGTATTTTCATTGGCATTGTAACAGAAGCAGAATCAGATCAATTACTTCAGCAGCCCTCCTAATCTTTGTAAACTGCAGCTAAGCATACAGTGGGGAGGGGAGGTATGGGGAACTGTGCCTTTACAAGGCTCTGAGGTGACCTGGAGCAGAGTGATGCTGTTCAGAGCACAGAGCACAAGTGCCACCAGAGCCCTGAGGAAGCTTTATGTCTCCTGCATATCTGAGCCTGCCAAGCTTGTAGTCAAAGACAACTTTGGACAGATTTTACAAATATGGGATACCAAACAGCAAAATGGTTTGCTCAAGGGACAGTGTTGCCCTAGCAAAAAGCCCTGTGTCCTGTCTACTACTACCATCAGCTTTGCAGCTGGAAAGCTTCTGTTTAGAAAACCTCACTGAGGTTTACCACTGTTTTTAAAAATTGTGTCAGTATGTAAGCACTGCTAATGGAAAGTGGAAAGGTTCAATCCAAATGAGATGTGACGTGAAGTAGATATTTTTTGAAATTTATTCTACTTCTGCTAAAACTACAACAGGTTTCAAGTCTCTCAATATTTTAGTGAAAATGAGCTGTATTTTCTTCAGAAAAAAAGGGATTCTGAGTGTTTTAAGAAAATATTAATTTATAGCTGTTTTTCAATTTGAACCAGATGTCTTTCTTCAAAGGGCTGGTTTCCTGACTGAATATAAATTGCTTTTAAAGAGGAGGACATTGTTGATGCTTAAAATGCACTATAGGTTTTGCTGCAGGTATTTTCCCATTTTTTAATTTTTTTATTTTTTTTCGCTCATGGCTGCTTTGTCATTCCTTTCTATCAGTGGGTGGTCACTCTGTATTTAGCTACCAGGAGTCAAAGGCAATGGTCAAAAACTGGTTCACACCTGCAAACCAGGTAGTCATCCTTCCCTTTTGCAGATTATTTTCCTCCTCTTCTCCACCTTATTTTTCAGCCGTACTAAGCATGCCTGTTTAAAAGAGTAATGTATATTGGTTTTCAAGGTAAGTTCTTTAAGGAGAGAAAAAAAATTAGGATTCAATCAAAATAGTAATTTTCTTGATGCACTAATGGCATCTGAGTAGAAATCATGTCCATGTAAGTGGTTGGATTTGCTGAAATGTTTATGATATTGGCTATCAGATGCAGGAGCTAGCTGAATTTTGTATAGAAGAAACATCCTACTTTTAAGCAAACTGGCTTATTTAAATGTAAAGAGGTCAGCCTACCAAGAGATGCCTAGAAGCTAAACACAGCTAAGGGTTGCTTAGTGTGCTTATGAAAATTAAGGCAGAGTGACTGTACATGTTATACTGCCAGAAGTTTCTATTGCTATAACCATTTCCCATTCTAGCTAGACATCATAGATGTGCTTCAATTGGCAGGAAATTGCATTACAACTATGACATACAAACCATTACCTGGTGTAAGCCACTCTCTTGTGTATGATCTCAGTTTCAAGCTGTGTAAGTTGTTACAGAAGGATTTGCCATTGCCTGGAGGCTAGAAAGTCTGAAACAACCAAAGGTTTAGATTAAGTATGGAGCATCCTTGTACCCAGTGGTTTGCAAAGTTATTTCATCTGACCTTCAGAAAACTGCCTCTAGCTGTTGAGATGATTGTCAGATCTGTTTTTTCCAACTCACTGGGGATTAGGCTGCTATCAAGTTCTCTGTTAAGGAGAGATTTTTGCTATCTTTCTGATCAGCTTAAATATTAATTATTTCCCTTTATTTACTCTTCTTAACGATAATTTACTTTGAATACACTGTATGCAAACTTACTTAACTGCTCAGGTTCAATCTTTAGCAAAGACTTAAAAAGCACGCTTTCTTAGTAACTCAGCTTTCTTATTTTTAGCTTAAGAACTTTGCTTACAAACTTTGCTGCTGCATTTTAAGAACTTTAAATTCTGATATCTGTTTGTAGATCTGTGACTTTGCCTAAGCCAGTTTTTTTTCCCCTCCTGTTCCTAGGCAATTTCTGTAGCTGTCAGCACATTACCAGGTACCTAGGCAAGTAGCTAGCATCTCAGACAGCTTCCTAATGAAAGACCCATAATAATCCTTCCATTTATGCATTAGATCATTGACTGATCTAGGACTCACCCTAGACCTGTAAGGTACACCAATCTTGTTTTAATCAGCTGGAGTTCCCAGAAATGAGTGTTTGCAGTGCTCAAGAGCCCTCTAACATGGTGCACACTGCACCACTTTCTCCAAACATATAGCACAGTGTCCTAAGGTATTACATTTATGAATGCAGACTTCTGAGAAAAGGTATTACAATAAATACAACCTTTTAGCAAAAGGATGCTACCCACTTACAATCAGGGAGCATACAGGAAGATGTACATGTAAAAGATAATTTCAGTCTTTTACTGAGCTGTGGATAAATACCAGGACTGTCTCCTAAAATAGAATTAAATTCAGCTTTAAAAGCATAACGGTACACCAGCATCACTCTTATGAGAAAAACCCACTTATATCTTCATTATAGAGGTAAAAGTTATTTTATTGATGGGTAATTACAATGCCTGTTGTATAAGAAAGGAAAATGCACCTATGCATTTGTTTTCATCTGGATGAGAATCAGGGAAAGATTGCTCCAGAGTCCTAAATGCATGTCAGGCAAAGGATATGTGTGGTGTCTTGAACCAATGTCTGTGTGTGGTTGGGTGCCAGTCAGGCCTTGCTTCTGGTCAGACAGTACCCTGCTCCCAGACCTCCCAGACTAGGAGACCTGTCAATCAATCAATCAATCAATCAATCAACCAGACAGCAGGGGGAGTGCTGACCCAGCTCCCGACTGGCCAAGTGACCATAAATCCCAGCTGAGAGAAAGGCCCATGAAAGGGTTTAAAAGGGGTTGACTATGAAGTGGCTATTGATCTAGACCCTGGCTTCTCCTGGAGTTTCTAACTCGTGCTGGAACTCTAGGAGTTGGTAGTCATCTGTGTATTTTTCTGTACCCTTTCAGTCTTTCTTCCGCTAATTCTCTTTTTCATGAAGCACTTTTTGGTAACTTAGTATCTTACAGGTTTAAGGGTTTGCAGGTTGAATGGGCTAAGTAAATGCTAAATTAATTATAAGTAATGCTATAATAAGTGTTTTATATTGAATTTCATGTTGTATTTACTCTTTTGCCAAAGTTTCCTTAATTTTCTCTATTTTTGTTAGCAAAACTTTGTGTGATGTTTAGCTGTTGAAAAAGTCTGGTTCTGTTTCTCCTTTATGTCTGCCCAAATAACAAGAACCTGGGTGTAGTCCATACATTAAGTACCCCAGGTGTAACAATCTACAACAGGGCTTTGAAGGGCTTTCTTCAAATCAAAAATGTCTCTTTTTTTTGTTTGGTTGAGGTTTTTTTGTTTGTTTGTTTGTTTGTTTGTTTGTTTTTTCCTTCTTTCCATTGTGGATGGATTTAGTAGTGTTAAGGAGAAAGATTTTTCTACAAACATAAGCCAATAACTATGCCTTCCAAGAAATGCTTTTTAGGGATTTACAATATTTTTATGTTTCAGTTGTGTGTGTATGTGCATAGTACTCATCTGTGTACTTTTCTGCTTTCATTTCTTTATATCTGACTTTGAAGAAACATTTTTTTTACTTGTTTCTTTGGAACTAAGTTCATCCTCCATCATAACAATTGATTGTCCCAACCCCATATAGTAGTTCCTGTATATGTTTCCTACACATCACTTATGTAAGGAGATGTTCTAGTTTGTTTAATGTTTTGGTGCATTTGTGGTTTCACTTGTATATGGTGTAAGTTTTTCCCCACTAGTATCAGCATTAATAGCACTGGCTCTTAAATTAACCTATAACTGAGATGAAGCTATGACCTATCTTCCTTGGACACTTCACAATGTTTTAGTCATTCTTTTACATTAAGTAGATAGAAAATCCAAATCTGAAGCTTCAGAAATGAAAAATATGCCTTTGTGGAGGTAGTTGATCACTGATTTCAGTGACCTCAAGATTTCACACAGTATTTTTAATGCTAGGGCTTGAAATCACACCTCAGTTGTAAACATTCATGTTTCCTCAACGAGTTGAAAATTAAGCACTGAGATAACATTTTATGGCTTCACAAACACTCTCAGTGGATCTCACAATTTGCCATTTGGATGGGGAAATATAAAAACTACATCAAATTCAAAAGAGGACCCTATACTTCTTTGAACCAGAACTTTACTTTGACAAAAATAACAGGCACACCAGGACTCATAATAGACCTTAATATTGAGGTTTAAACTGCTTGCTAAGATTTTACAGAAATATTCAGATTTTTAGGTATACGTGTGTATTTTTACCTAGTCAAGCAAAACCATATATATATCTATCTAACTGTAAGAATGATGGTCTGACGTCAGCTGGTGGCCAAGCACCCAAACAACTCCTTGTTACTGCTGCTCTGCAAGACAGGGATGGGGAGAGAGTATACAGAAAATAAGACAGAAAAGACAAACAGGTCAAAATAAAATATAAAATACTAATAAAACAAACAAGCTCCCCACAGACAACAACAAAACCCCCCCCAACAAAACCTAAACAAAAACAACAGCAACAAAATAAAAACAAACAGAAACAAACAACCCCCCCATGGAAACAGAGATCAACCTGCCAGCAATGGCATTGTCAGGACTAAAATTCACTTGTCAGCTCTTCTCAAAGCACAGATCTGATTAACACCAATCCCAGGAAACCAAAGTTAGAAATATGTATGTAAAAATGTATAAGATGTGGTACATAATAAATGAAGTTACATTATAAGTAGTGAAATTGTAAGTATTGAGATTCAAGCAGTTTTGTAGAAAAATGTCTCCAGTATCTGTTCTCATTTAACTGGTATCCCCTACCTATCCCTTACCCACTGTTTTGTCTATAAATCATGAGCTAATCACCTGCCCAGACACATTTTGTAGGAGTACTTGTTGAAGTCACTTTTAAATTGTTCCAAACTTCTTCTTTGATTTTTTCTTCCCCTTTTGGAACACAAAACAAATTACCAATTAGTTTCCTATTACAGACAAAAAAAAATAAAACCTGAGAACCTCTGTGCCACCTGCCTGAAGCAAATTTTTACTGTTGAGTTATATCAGAGGATTTTAAACTTGAAGTAATGGTATACCCTTGACCCCAGCAGCATGAATAGCCCAGCTAGAATTGTAAATGATTTTATGTGTGTTGTCAGTAAGACACCATTTATATCATGCTGTAAAAAATGAACATGAAGTGGTGATAAACTTACTGCTGCTGTCAATCAAGGATGGTTTTGTGTTACAATGAGGGCACAATTTGGATGTGTATTACTTCTCCAGAAGTTCAGGATGGAGTATAAAATACTGGACAGAAATGGAAAATGATTAATTAGAAACATTGCTTGAAAACATTAAATAGACATCAGCAAACTGAGGAAATTTGTGAGGATGACTTTCATCAGAGTTTATAGTTAGTATATATGCATTCAGATACAATGATAGTTAGTGTACTAGATTTATGTAATGCCATTTATTAAGGTTATAATTTTATTTTTCCTAATAACATTACTACACCATAAGTCTCTATAATTATTTTACTCCCAGATTTTTATTTAAAACAAAAATGCAAGTTTTAATTATGCATCCATGAATCATGGCATGCAACACTTCTGAAGGATTCCTTTAATATAGAAGGACCAGTACAGAATCTACAGATCATCTGAGAGGTTTTGTGGCATATCACTGCTGTGATATTAAAGGGAACAGGTCATGCCTGAACTACTGTTGTTACAGACAGACTGGTAAAAAAATCTCTAAGTATCTCATAACATTCTATCCTTCAGGAATAGTTGAGGACAGATGTTTTCCATCCAACTGCAGTATTTTCACGCTGCTTTCATTAAGCTGTCATCTTAAAAACTGCTTCAATTTGAGTCCCTTTTCTACTTTGTTAGTTTTACTCTATCCGTTTGCACCTGGTATGACAGGAAAGGTTGCCTTTGTTCTTATGTATAAATTTACTAGAAATTAGAGCAGAGTCACACAATTACCTACCCTAAGTCTGAAAGTAATTATGCAGTACCAACAGGTTTAAGGAGGCTTAAAAATTTACACTTATTTATGGTCTAATCTGAAAGGCTTTATAATGTATTAAGGAATTGTAAATTCAAACATTTATGCAACTTTGATTTGAGGAATCAGTAACTTTGATGTACTAATGCTGTAAAACTCATTGTTCGCTGAGCACAGAAAAGGAATGCTTCAGCTCATCCTGAACAGACATAAAATAAGATTCAAAAGCAGCAGTGATTTAGAAAGTACAGCAAATAAATGTGTATAATTGAATCAAATAAACCTTCAGAAAGTTTAGAAAGGTGTAGACACTTGGGTCTCAAAGTTTGCAAAAGCTGTGGATGTAGTTTTTTCTTTCAGAAATTCCATTTTTGTTTTTCTTGGTCTCAGACATTTTCTGTTCTTGTAAAATATTGCACTGAGGAGCTATAAACTTACAAGAGCAATAAAACATGTTTCATAAGAAAAAAAAGTTTTCAGAACTTATGCTGCAAAACAAGAAATGGAAAATTACATCATATACATTCAGAACAACAACAACAACGAAAGGAATATCTAGCTTCTTTTTCATGAAAATGTAGAATAACTTGACATAAATCCTGGGATTTTGACA